GTGGAGAAGCCATCTGAGTGTGGAGATGATTCACACAGATGGAGAGAACAGCAGGCCAGGCAGTGTCCCTGAATGCAACACACTGGACAAACAGAGGCCTTCTTCCTGGTAGCATTGGGATATAAAGTGTGGACGAGGATAGTAGAACTTGACCCCACAGGTCTTTGCCAGCTACTGTTTGTGGGTGTTATAATTAAACTTAATTAACCCCTACTCCAGAGAGAATCTAAATGCCCCATAAAGGATTTGTGAGAATAAAAGCCCAAATGTAACATACTATCCTTTATAGCTTGAACAATTAATAATAAATGAAGTTGTTACAACTTTGCTATCAACAGTAAATCAGCTCTGTCGTATTTCTGCTGTGGAGAATATAGGTTAACCTGATCCCTGCACCAGGTCAAGGAAAAGAAGGTCTTCTTGCTGAACTTATTTTAGCCCTCAGTAATCCTCTGCACAGCTCATTGTCTCTCAAATGTGAGGGGCTAGGATAGCCACTTCTCTCTTTCCCCTTCTGAGCATAGCCCAAAGGCTGGCCAGTAGGGCAGGCTAGGACAGGTCCAGGTCTCCCAGTGTCCTGGAGGCAAAGACTCTTGAGGGACCTGTCTGTAGTTCTCAGAAAATCTTTAGCTGACACCTGAGAAACTGGGCCTTCCTTGGAGGCAGCACAGCAGCAGCACTTTCCCCAAGTCAGGTGTTGCTTTTATGTACACTGAGCTTTCTTTTTTTTTTTTTTTAATAGTGTGTATAATTGCCTTTCCATATTATGTTGAATGTCCCCTTTGCCATTAAAAGCTTCTGGTTCTAGGCTTTCCTATAACATCTTCACCTTCTCCATGTTTACTCACCCAGTAGAAAGAACCAGAGCCAGAGTCCTGGTTTCCTGGAAATTTGACTTTCCTTTCAGGAGGCTTCCCAACTGAACAGAAACCTGGACTCCAGCCTGACACTGACTTCCTTACCTGTTCTTTTTCCACTATAAACTATTCAGTGCCTAACATGGCAAGTTGACAGCATTTACCAAAATGAACCTTTGCACAGCTGTACTTCCTAAGTCCCTCTGGCAGACATACAAGATGACCCTGTATAGCCAACATCATAGGCTCAGGACTGAATTTGCATCAGCCCGGACCCTGCCATCACATCAGACTGATTTTCATGAATGTCACAGGATCTTCTTCCTCACCCCTTCCAACCTAGAAAGTAATGAAAAATGACCAAGGCAGTGTTAGCCTATTTTCCTATGCTGTGTTAGGGCCTGTGGAAATGAATTCTACAGAATGTACTGTCATTTTGGTGTTTCAAAAGTGGATGTGGCTACTAACCTGAGAACCACAAAAATGTTTTTTCTAGAGTGACACCATCTCTAAAGGCCTTGGTGGAAGCCAGCAGATGACTGTAGCTCCTGATAGATTGGTGTTCCTTCAGTCCTTCTGGGAGTAAAGCAGAGATGGTGGCAGGTGGGAGTTTGTTGCTCTGTGCTTGGCGAAAATGTTCAAGCCCTGAAGCCCACACCTCTTCTCTGAATTCCATTTGAGACTACCCCATCAGATTGAAGAATCCATTCTTTTCTATTCTGAGTGTTCTATATTTAGTCCCCAGCTTGTCCTGGGAGTTCAGGTTTTGTTTAAATTGTCCTTATTTTTAAAGCATGAAGAAAGTGGTGTTTCACTTTAATTTTGTTTTTCAGGCTGACTTTTCTCTAAATAATTAAAATTCTGCCAGGAAAGTGGTTGATAATCTTCACAGATTTGTGAGCGTGAGAGTTTCATCTTACAGTCTCTTTTTCTTCCATGGTTAGTGTTGGTGTCTTCATTCCTTCTCTGCAAAGAAGATAAAAACCCTGCTGACAATGCATGCTTCTCGCATGGAGTTTAGCTGTGGGAGGATAGCAGTGGGAACAGTTACGGTCCATGCCCAGATCCCAGTTGATTGGGTGGTTATGTTTGGTGTCGTGTTGGAGGCGTCTCCCTTCTTAGACCGTCATGTGACTTAGTGGTGATAATTAGGCAGAAACTTGTCTTCCCTACAGATGCCAGGATTACAGAAGGACTGACTCTCACCAGAGACCAGATGACGGCATCCACAGATATTTTTAGGCCGCGCCTCTTCGTTTATTTGGTCTCCCCATTTCATGTTCATCAACAGCCTGATTCAAACTTACTTTTTGAGCAGGGAGGAAAAGGGATGGGGGAGGCATCTTCTCCCTCTTGATGGAAGTCACTGATGAGACAAGGCAACGGTTTCGTACTCATCGTTAATCGGTGTATCGCCTAGTAACTGCAAAGCAACAGCTGTAGTTGTGTCAGCTATCTACTTCCTTTTCCTTCCAAAAGCTTTGCTTAATCTGATACATTTTTAAACTACAGGGGCATCAACACACACATAAGCCTCACAGTTAACTAAAGGGCCATACTTTAATCCATGTGAGAGTGATGTGAGCGTCCTTAAAATCCATGAAACTTGTACCCCAGCCAAGCACCGTTGAACTCCCAGCTCAGTAGTTGATCCACTCTTTCCGTGCTTGATAGAGGCAGATAACATGTGCAAACAGTGAGCTGCAGAAGAGCCATTCAAAGCCTAAGACTGAAGAGTTACTGCTTTTCTGTAGGGCTATTTTTATTTCCTGGGTCTTCAGCCTGAGTCGTGATCCTGGTGTTCCTCTTAGAAGGGTGACTATATTTCTGTTTGGCATTTATCTGGTTCCTTTATGCTTTCAAGATATTGTATAGTCTGTTTTCCTTCTATCACAGAGAAAACCAGGGACCTTTCGGTTGTGTGGAGTGAGTGTTTCTGTATTAAATGTGCCTTTTGTAGGAGCTGCTGCTTACCCCAAGTCTGGCCCTGGTGGCTCAACCATAGGCATGGAGGCATCTTCCTGCACAAGCCTCCCCAAGAAGGCATTGCCTGAGACCCTGGAGGATGCTCCAGGACATAGCATCATAGGTTGCCCCACCCTACCGCATTCTGCAGAAAGGAAAGAGTGATGATTAGTACATCTGCTTTTTAATGATGACGTTCCCAGAAGATTTTGGACCTTTTGCTAAGGGAATAGGTGTGTGGCCTGGGGATTGTTGGTGTGGATTTAGACTGTTCTTGGTGGGTCTCTTCCACCTGATTTCAGAGCTGATGGCCTGTCTTGCTCAGATGATGCCATGTCCAGGGTGCCTAGGCGCCCTCTGGCTCCTCCCCTCCCACATTGGGCCAACCTAGCAGCACAGCAAACTGTAGCTCTGCCTCTACTTGGGGAATGAAATGTGTCACTTTTCCGTTATGCACTGTTTCCGCAGCAGAATAATTAACACCAAAGGGAACTGGGGAGGGGTCTGAATTAGGTAATACCTTGCCACTTCTCCCTTGGCACTTACAGAAAGTCAGAATCGGGACTTAGGGACTATAGTGCACTGATGACTAATTGCATAGTGATACTAGGTTGTGATTTATTAAGTGTTATTGTGAAGGAAAAAACCAAGTCCCCTTCAGAGGACTTTATCTGTGAGCCACCTGTCTGATCATGCTTTGGGGGTCCTGGTAGAGGACTAAGAACATCACCAGTTCTAACAGGCCAGATTCCTTACAGTTACTGAGGTGTAAGATTTCCTTTAGCTTTTTCCTCCCTCTGAAAGTAATTAGCCATTATTTTATAGTCCAGTTGCTTTCCAGAGCAGAGAACACCCCCCAAAAAACCCTTAAGCCAAGGATATTAAATATTAGGGATCCATGGGAAGAAGGATCTAGTTGTCTTCCTTTATTGTATCTGCCTCCAGTAAAACAACCTACCACCTTCTCTATAGAAAAGGTAAATACGACACAGGTGTGTGCCATTCTGAATACTAAATCCTGCTGTCTTTGCAAATGTTGGTAATGAAAGATAAGATAGCCCCAAAGACCAAGTCACAAGAACACTGGTGGAAATTCCAGAGGAACATACATTGCCTCTAAGGTGGAGAGTGGGTATATGTACCTCATTGTGTGTGGAACAATGATGCATTTTCATTACTTAATCTGGTGAGATGTGGAGCTTATGATGCTCCACTGCCACTTTTCTACCCATTCTTGGCCTGGAGCCTTTTTTTTTTTTTTTTTAAACTACCATGACAGCCAGTGCTGTCTTCATAAACAAAAGATCTTACGTCTCAAGGCCTGGCAGGTCAGTTCCTTTATCTAGTCCTCTCTGAGTGGACTTTGTTGATCCTCTTTAACTTTTCTGGGCTCAGTGGTCCCATGTGGTTTGGTAAGACTTGTCTAAATTCAGATGCTCTGGGAAGACCCTTGCTGTACCTTTCCATCAAAGATTATTAGTGACAAAATAATAATGTCGTTAGTTGTTAACAGGATGTTTTGTGGGGAATTTGCTAGGCTTTGTGTGTGTTACACACTTTTTTTTTCTCTGCAGATTCTTAATGCAAAAGTTAAGTTCATAAGACAGCCTACTTAGAGATGGCTTGCTCCTCTTATTTCCCACCACCTGTGGTTAGGTTACTAAGCTCCTGTAAGAAGGGACCATGTCACCTCTCCTGGTACCAGTGTACTGATGCAAAGTCTGCCTGTTGTCAGTCAGGGAGAGCTAGAGAGCTATAGCTGGTCTCCTTTGGGTAACCAACTTGCCTGCTTTAGCATGAAAGTCCCGTGTCCCAGGAAACACCTAGGTCCCAAAGTCTAGAACAAAACCCCATTTTACTGCAGATGTCCCTAACTTACCAGGGCCCGCTAAATCATACCTAATGTGCCTTTCTTTGTGAACTTCTCAAAATGCATGATCCCATTTCCTTTGGGCTTTTCAAGTTTGAAACATTTTGTAATAAGGAAAAAATAAGAAATATGGTAAGTAATCATCTTGCTTTGCCCTTTGAAATCCTACAGCAAAACAGCTTTCCTTTGTATGCCCTGGGCTCCGAGGTGCGGGGAGCAGTGGGAGGCTGGTGAAGCATGGTTCCTGGGTGCCTGTGTCGTATTTGAATGCCCTTGGTGATCTCTGGTTTTCTTTTCTCCTCCTTTAGACCCTTAAACTGACACAAGACCTACAGAGAAAACCCTTTGCCAAATCTGCTCTCAGCAAGTGGACAGTGATACCGTTTACAGCTTAACACCTTTGTGAATCCCGCTCCATTTTCCTAACCCAGCAGAGACTGTTAACGGCCCCTTACCCTGGGTGAAGCACTTACCCTTGGAACAGAACTCTATAAAGTATGCAAAATCTTCCTCATAGAGGGTGGTGAGCTACCTGCCAGCAGAGGACAGCACCCGTCAGCATCACCCACTCTTATTTAGAGCACACCGTGAGCCCCTATTGGCGATTCTGTGCTGTTTTAATATCACGATGGTTTTTGGGATGCTTTAAATGTTGTTTTTGTGTTTGTTTTCCTTTGATCCTCTTGAGTTTTTCACATACATAACTTGCAGTATTTTTCTGTTAAAATGTTAACTGTCCTTCCCCTGGCAAATTTAAAAACAGAAGGAAAATATTGTACCAGTTACATTCTAGCTTTGGGCGTCACAAGCTTTTGAGCCCATGGAACTCCATAAACTAACACATTACATAAACTAGAGGGGGATTTTCTTTCTTCTTTTGTTTGGTAGAAAATTATCCTTTTCTAAAAACTGAACAATGGCACAATTGTTTGCTGTGCGCACCCGTCCAGAACTGAACCACACAAAGGCAAAACAAGTGGAGCACAGCATCCAACCCGAGATGTTTCCAGTTCTGAGTTAGGGTGGTCTGAAGATGAGTCCCCCAGCACCTGCTCTGTAGCTGCCCAGTCAGTAGGACCCATGGTCTCCTGTCAGTCTCTTCAGCTAATGCAGTGTACAGAGTTGACCTATTGGTTAGAAACTAGATCTTTTCAGGAAAGAAAGCAGTTCAGCTGTCCACTCATTTGCCAAATGCCACTGAAGGATTTAGTTTTAAGGAGAAAAGGAAAAAAATATGCCCTGTTTTGCTTTGCAGAAGAAATGAACTTACAGGTGAATCATTAATCTTGCAGTGAGAAATGTGTAAAGAGAAACTGAGTCAATGCTAAGGCAGGTCTAACTTCACTGTTTCTGAAATGCACATCCTTGATTATTTTCAGCCTTGCTGTGTATAATCTGATCTTCTAGAAGTGTATGATTGAAAGGCAATAGCATACAAACTGATTTTTTTTATATAAGCTTAGGTTGTAATTATACAAGTGATACAATGGAAATGCAAGATAAGGCAGTTTAAGCTTTTTTTAACTTTCCTGATTCTATGGATTTCATTTTGTTTTGTCTTCAAAAGTTATGGTGCTGTATAGGTGCTTTCTGTTTAACCTGGAAAGTGTGATTACCTTCGTTACCCCCTTTGGTAGACAGAATAGTTGGGAACACCTTTGGTACATAGGAAATTGGTATAACGATGCTCTGATTAGCACAGCATATACATATTTCTCCAAAGTGATATATGAAGACTTTTCTTTGCATAAAAAGCATTAGGCATATAAATGTATAAATATATTTTATCATGTACAGTACAGAAATGGAACCTTGTGCATGGGTGTTAGGAATACAGGCTAGTGTTTCAGCACAGACTTCCCTGCTTGAGTTCTTGCTGATGCTTGCACCTTGGCAGTGGGCACCAACACAAACGTTCCACACAAGCCCCTGCACCCACCACCAACCACCAGAAGCCTCCTTCTGCACATGTGCTTTATCACTCCTTTGGGGGTGATAACTAGTGGTGATCACAGCTCCTCGCATAATAAGAGTTCCATTTGGTATTGTCACACATCTCCTGCCTCGCTTGTATGGTCACGTTTGAGCGATGGCCCTATTAATTTCCACCTGCCTTTTATGGGATCTGTACATTGTCGTGCAATCGTGGTTAGAGTAGACCTGTAGTGTATCACCTTTCTAAACTGCTACATGTTTATAATCTTCATTTTAAAAGTATGTATGATTTTTTTAAAATATATATTCTATTCATGTGGTCTGCTTATTAGTGAGCCACACTTGCCTACTATATTCCTTTGTAATAATGCTAGCCACTCTCTTGATTCTTTAGTAGTCTGCTGTACACAGCTGTCTAGTATCGGCAAAAGAAGGCTGCCTCTCTGGCTTCTTGAGAGGTGCTGCCTGAGTAGGACAACTAGCAGAGGCAGTGTCAGCTGGGGGACAGGAGGAGGGACTGAAAGAGACCAGATACAAGGGAGAATCCCAAGTGCTTCCAGCATGAGGGCCCTGAGGTTTCTCTCCTGAGATCAAAGAAGCAATCTAACCACAAAATAGCTACTTGCCTATGCAGTTATATGGACGCTGGGAGCTGCATGGAGGGGGCAAGAAAGTCAGCCCTCCAATGTGTTCCAGCTTTAAAATGCTGAATTCCTTTCAGACACGTAGCTTCTTGTTTATTCTCCTCTTTTCTAATATTTGTTGGATTTCAGGCACAATGTCTTACAAAATGTCCTAAAACCAGATTATAATTTAATCTGAAACAGCTAAGGGAGGGACAGAGGGGTAGGTACGAGGACAGTGCAGCCTCAGAACAGATCAGGAAAATAGAGGGAATGTTTTGATTTTCTTTTCTTTAATAACTCCAACGGGGCTGGCAGAGTGGCTCAAGTGGTACAGCACCTGCTGAGCAAGTGTTGAGGCCCTGAGTTCAAACCCTAGTACCACCCCCCCAAAAAAAGTAAATAAAAAAAAATAACTCCAACGGCATCCACATGTAGAGTGGTATGGAAAACTGTCCAGGACCCCTGCACCCTCACCCTCACCCTCACCCTCAGCTGTCCCTATACAGAGAGAGGCCAGGCTCCCTTAGATGAGCCAGGTTCTACAGTGATCAGGCTAGGCAGAGGTATAGCCTGGGCCCTCTGTCCCTTATATTGGAACCCTGCTTTCTGGGTGAGCCAACTGTTGGCCACCACGTAGCTTTCTGAATGTCTTGAGTCCCTTATTATAAATGCTGTGATCTGGAGCATCTTAACAGATGGCTCATGGCCTCCAGACCAGGGCCAGCAGCTGTGATGTTGGAATTCTGATGTGGACTATGCAGGGCCGCCTCCAACAGCCTAGGGACCTTCTTGGTAAGCTGCCCTAGGGAGCCGCCCAGTTGGTGATGAGAAGTTAGCAGAATACCTAGTATCAAAGGCAAGACATGCACTCTGGGGTTCCATGGTTCCTTTGGGGCTCCAGAACTTGATACCTTGTACCAAAGCTAGAAAAGAGCTTTATCACAAGCCTTCACTATCCTGGCGTGAGGACCAAGCGCCGGGCTCAGCGTACCCCATTAACTGTGAATGCATCTGAGGTTGGTTTTCTTCATTGCAGCCTCAGCAACATAATGATTGCTGAAACACATTTAAAGTAAATTTTTTTTCCCAAAGTCTGCCTCTCCTGTTAATGGAGAATCATGCACACACATGTAGTACATGTGTGGTTCGGGTGTTGATTTTTAGCATCATCATGTGTGTCACTTCCCCACCCTGAGGATAGGACTTCATGGCTCACTACTCAGGACAGATATGCTTGTCTCAGGGTGTGACTCCAGGTGGCTTCCAAACCTGTACATGGTTTTAAGATCATAGGGACAGACTTCACCTCTACCAGAGGAACTCCACCCACTTAAAGAATAAAGAATATTTGAATCTCTTGGAAAAGGCCATCAGGAGTAAAGCAAGTCCTCTGTTCCATATTCTGGTGCCAAGGGCTGATGAGGGAAATAAGAGTGCTGCCCTTTTTCTCTAAAAACATAAAGGAAGCCCTGACATCTCTGAACTCTGACTTTTCTTTTTCTTGCTGTATTTGAGGAACATCATATGATTAGGTGTAATTTTTTTTAATTAAGAAAAGCAATTTTTTTGTAAAAATGCAATCACCAGTAAAGAGGTACGAAAAAGCCGCCCCTCCGGAACCTCAGTGGGGAGGAGCGGGGCACAAGGGGAGAATGAAGTTCTTGTGGAATTGTCTGTCAAACAAGATCTTAAAGCAGATGTACAAGTAATGGAAAAGAGTGTGTGATATTTGATCTGAATCTTAAGTGGGTAACATTTTATGCAAGTTGAATGGATGGTTGGAATACTTTCCTCTTGTTTAGTTTTATTTGTACATATTTTTCTTTGATGAATGATTGATTATATAAGGCCTCTGCCACACTCCAGAAATATTTGTGCGGCTGCTTTTAAAGTATTGTGTGTCTGGTCACTTATTTCTCTAAAATTATCTCATTGCCTGGCAATCAGTCTTCTCTTGTATACTTGTCCCAGCACACTATGTACTTGGGAAATGTAAACAGATGTGAAGGAGGACCAGAAAAATTAGTGAATATTAAAAAAAATGTATTGTGCATTTTGGCTTCACATGTTTAACTTTTTTTAAGAAAAAAAGTTGCATGAATGGAAAAAAATCTGTATACAGTATCTGTAAAACTGTCTTATCTGTTTCAATTTCTTGCTCATACCCCATACAAACTAGAATTCGATATGGTGCATGGCCATATTCAAACACCTAAGAATCAAGCAGTTTGTCTTTTGGTTCAAAGCACCTCATCCTTTCTTTTAAAGTGGACACTTCATCCTGCATTGTCACTGAGGATTTTATCTAACCACATGTTGCCATGAATTAACCCTGCCACCCTTCTTCTCAAGGCTCAAAACCAGTTTGATTTGGGAATCTTCCCCTTTCCAAATGAAATGGAGACGCAGTGCTTACTCTCCTCGGTGTTTGTAGATATTGGCTTGTGTATTCCATTTAAACCCTAATCTAGTTTGTAAAAGAGATGGTGACGCATGTAAATAAAGCATCAATGACACTCTTGTCTTACTTCAAGAAATCTTTTGTGTATGTATGTATGACCCCTTCTTCCCCCATGAAATGGCTGAGTTTATCTCTAGGTCTTCCTGTGGGATTTCTTCACAAACTGGAGAGGCATGGGGCTGACTAGTAATGAGATCTCTCAACTAAATGAACCTAGTAAACTTTTTCTCTGGCCCAATTTTGACCTTCACAACCAGACAATTTAATAAAGACAGATTTATGGAGTTGTTCATGTTGGCTGATAGCCTCTCTTGGTGTGTACTGAGTCATGTAGCCCCAGAGGAGATTTTATGTCAGAAGGCAAGAATCGGGCTCTGCTCTGCTGAGCTCAAGCAGTTCTAAACTTCCAGTGATTGGGCCCTAATCAGGGTTCACATGAATCCAGCAAATGAACATTGGTCCTCGACAGGGCCTCCAGCACATTGCAAGTCAGATGCGGTACTTAGGCTTATGGTGGCAACGGGGTATGTGTTTCCTCCATGACTACATGTGGGCCTCCTCAATGAAGTTAGGAATACCACACTATTGTAAGACTGTTCTTAGCCTGGATTGTGTTTCCTATTTGAATAGACATAAAACTACCTAGCTTATAGAAGCCCCGCAGAATCTGGTTTAAATGTCCCAAGCATTCATTGGGCTCTTCAGTTTAAAGAGGTGAGCAAGATTTTAAAGTTGGCCCTTTGGGATAAGTTCTGTGTTAGTGGAGAGTCATGCTGTCACTCGTTTACAAAAGGAAAACCTTACCATCCTCTTATATTCCCACCAACTTGGGAAGGTTCTTTCAAGATTGCCTCTCAATTCTAATTCTGCCTCCCAAAAGATTAGAGATGGAAATCTAATGCTGGTACTACAAGATTCTCAGAGAGTTCTCCAAAATCAGCTAAAAATGCAACTAAAAACTAGTTGAAATTAATTTAATAATTGGCTAACTCAGTCTTCAGGTGTGGCAGTGGCCAGACCCTATGACAGCACCAAGAGAACTATGACCTGGACCCTGCCCTCTGTGAGATTGTTCTATAAACATAATCCACCTGCTCCACCTTCCAGAATAAAGAGCCAAGCCTTGCCTACTATCCCTGCTTCAACATCTGGTTTAAAAGGAAAATCTGGAGTAATTTCTAAAACACCTAATAGTTTGATTTTGTAAA